TGTCGTGGTGGAGGGGCTCCCCTCCCATCCCTGGAAGGGGTCTAAGAGTGCACCAAACAACTCGATCGTCGTGTGAATGGGTATTATTTTTATTTATTTTGGGTGAGTGTTGTGGAGTGGTTTGGGATATTGTGGGGGGTTATTGGGGGGTTATGGGGGTTTTTCTGGGGGATTGTGTGGGTTTAAGGGGGGTGTGCGGGTATGGGTGTGGGTATTGGGGATGGGTGGGGTGGGCATTGGGGTTTCGTGGGTGAGGGGGGTGGGGTGTGTGTTTCGGATGGAGACGTAGAATCGAGTGGGGTAGTGAGGTAGGTAACCTCAGTAAAAAATCCCGGGCAGGTCGGGCTCGTCAGGCGTGGTGAAGCCAACCGACCTAGGTGAAGGAAAACACCGAAATCAAACCATCTTTCCTTGATACAACATGGACAGTACAACGAAAGATAAAAAACTTACTGCCGCAGCGGGTTTCGGACCCCGCAGCGGCCGGCGTGGGGGGATACAGTCCCGGTTCCCCCCTCGTCGTCATCACACGACGGGCCGCCAGGGGTGTTGCCGACGAGCAGCCCTGGCGAGCGTACTATCGCCGTTGGTAGAGATGTGAGGGTGGTCGTGCGGAGAGTCGACCGACCGGGCCCGGCTTCATCGAAGCCAAAGCTCCGGTCGCGTTCGGCTTCTGCCGCGAGGGCTCACCCGTATAATCGGGATGAAGCGGGTCGGGGCAAGAGCCTCACTCGCTCGAACGAAAAGGCGGAGGGTTCGTCACGGGGGTGTAGTGAACGCACCACCACCGTCTCCTCCTCAAGGACCTCGCAAGCTAGCGAAGACGCCGAGGAGTATGCGTCTCCCGATGGGGATGACGCGATGGGAGAGGACGGCCTCCCAAAGAAAAGGGGATGCGGGAAACCGCCCACCATGGCCGAGTTTGTCGACCTTTGCGAGAGGCGCGAGGAAGAGGCCGCCCGCAAGAAGGAAAGGGAGAGGAAGCGAAGGGCCAAGAAGGCCTTATCGGAGGGCGCTCCCTTCCCTCCGCAAGTAGTAGGGACCTTCGGGCCTACGAGGCGCAGTGCGTCGACGAGGTGAGACAGGCTCCCACCCCGGACATAGCGGCGCGCAGCCTGGAGCAGGCGGCGACTATCGATTGTATAGCCGCCTGCTCCGGGAACCTGCAGTGCTCTCTAGAGAAAGCTGAGGAAGGCCGCGGCCCTGGTGAGGGTTACGGCTAGCGTCTTGGCGGAGAGGGCCCAGCGGGCTGAGGGAGAAGGGGAGCTCGCGGCTCTCCGTACGGACATGAAGTCCCTCGGAGACCGCAACACGGACCTCCAAAAGGAGGTCCGAGAGCTCAGGGGGCAATTGGACGCGGTCCAACGCGCCAAGCCCTCCCTTCGGCTGGCCCTCCCCGGCTCGCCCAAGAGGTCCCCCCGCAAAAGGCGGGGGGTGCCGCGGGTAAAGTCGGTGGAGGTGCTGGATGCCCCAGTGAGGGTGGAGCATCCAGCCGGGGGGAAGGGACAAAGGTCCCCAACGCTGGGTAAGGGGGATCTGAGACCTAGGTCCCCAACGTCTGGGGGGTTTAGGGGACAGGGGTCCCCAGCCCTACACAGTAGCGTAGAGGCGTAGAGTGAAGCGAGGGGGGGATTTAAGGCGGGAGGAGGCACGAACCAAGCATCCATCTCTTCCGTGGCAGCGGCACTGTCGTGTCTGTGTAGGGCGTTTACACACTTCCTCAGCCCGACAAATAATTGTTAGAAAACAACATGCGCGGGTCTGAAAAAATATGCGAGGTACAAGTGGCTGAATCGGGAATCGAACCCGAGTCTTTCGCTTTCCGGGCAACTGCTCTTACCACTGAGCTATTCAGACCTCGCACCTTACGCCACTCTAACACAGTACATACGACTCCAGAGCGATGCTGGAATCTCGCTCAATGGATGCAGTGCCGATTGTCACGGAGAGACGAAATCCCCCTGCGGAGAGACGAGGTCCCCAGCGTCCTCAGGGGGGGAAGGGACTTCGGTCCCCAACGTTGGCGGGTGGCCGGGATAATGCGGCGATGAGGCCCCCTTTGAGGGGTACTTATGCGCCGCTCCCCGAGAGCTACCCGCCGGGAGTCGTCGGCGAGGGTGAGCGAGCTTGGTATAACTGGTATACCGAGCAAATCGCTGCCTTCGTCGACTTACGGGCGGCGATAGGCCGGGGCGGACCACACGGGCCCGCTTCGACGGCCGGTCGTCCGCCCGGAGGAGCCTTCCCACCTCTCCCCCCTGCCGGCGCCTCAGCGCCGGAGCAGGGAAAGAAGAGGATGAAGAGAAAAAGGGGACGTGGTGCGAGAGGAGATAGGAGTATGGGGCCTCTGCCCCCCCCGCCGCTCCCTGCTTCGCGCGGCGCGCCGGCGGGCGCGGGGGTCGGAGAATTCCGCCTCCTAATGCCCCCCGACCGGCTGTGCAGTGTCAGGGGCTCCCTCCCCCGCCCCCGCGTGCCCCCGGCCAGGACGAATCCTGGTCGAGGGTCGTGGGACGGAGGTAGAAAACGGCCCGGGCAAAGGCCGCGCATACGGCCCAACCCCCGGCCGGGAAGGGCGCCGCAAGGGCGACGCCGTCCATCCAGCGTGCTGGAGGACGTCAGCAGCGGCAGCAGCCCAAGAGGCGTCTCGGAGGGGATGCCTCAAGGCGCAGAGTGCCCCGATCGGCAGCGGTTACCATAACCTGCGCCGACGGGGCGTACCAGGAGATCATGACCAGGGCCCGGAGGGAGGTCGACCTCCCGAAATTGGGAATTGACTCCCTCCGGGTACGAGAGGCCGCCACGGGGGCCATGGTCGTGGAGCTCACGGGGTCGGGTAAGAAGGACGGGCCAACGGCGACACAGAGGGCTGATGCCCTCTACGCCGACCTCGGCCGGGTGTTCGCCGGTGAGGAGGGGGTCCGTCTCGCCCGGCCCATTAGAAAGGCAGAGTTGCGGCTCCGCGGCCTCGACAGGTCCCTCGCGGGCACCGACATCGCGGTGGCCCTCTCCGGGGAGGGAGGCTGCGAGGCGGCGGACGTGCGAGTTGGGGACATCAAGTTCCCAACCCGCGGCCTGGGCACTGTATGGATACAGTGCCCATTAAGGGCCGCTAATAAAGTAGCGGCAGCCCGGGCCATCCAGATAGGCTGGTCCCAGGCACAAGCGGAGCTGCTGGACAAGCGCCCGCTCCAATGCTTCTGATGCTTGGAGAAAGGACATGTCCAGCAGCACTGCAGCAGCCCCATCGATCGCAGGGGCTGCTGCTACAGATGCGGCGGACCGGGGCACCTGGCGCACAATTGCGCCGAAAAGGTCAGGTGCCCGGTCTGTGCGGGTCTGGGCCGTCCGGCCGACCACAGGGTGGCTAGTGCCAAATGGACCCCCCCTAAAAGAAGGCCGGGTTAAACTGGCCGAGATCACCGCGGCACCCTCCGACACCCGCAAGCGCGGAGCGGAAGACAAGGGGGGCTCGAAAGAGGCCCCCAAGGGCCCGGCCTGCAGCCGCCACAACCCCCGCTTCATTAGCGGAGGTAATGATGGCGGAGCCCGGGGGCAAATAAATAAAGTATGCTCCTGGGCATACTGCAGGCCAATCTAAACCACGCTCGCCGGGCGCAGGACCTTTTCCTGCATAGCCTGGCTGAGCGTGGTTTCGGATTGGGGATCGCGGCGGAGCCATACCAAGTTCCGGAAGTCAGTCCATGTTGGATTGGCGACCGGACAGGCTCCGTCGCGATCACGTGGAGAAGTGACTCCACACTCCCGCCTTGCACACCGGTTGAGGCCGGGGCGGGAGTTGTGGTTGTCAGATGGGGGCCCATCTCAGTGCTGGGGTGTTACATCTCTTCGAACGTGGGCCTCGCCCAGTATGAGGCGTTTTTGGACGGGGTGTCGGCCTGTTTCCGCCGACAGATGTCCCGTCCAAGACGGCGGAGGCGTATGAGGGGTTCCGTACCGCTAGGAACGCCCTTAGCGCCGCGATCAGGCGGGCCAAGGCCAGAGCGTGGGACGAACTCCTGCGCTCCTTGGACGCGGACCCATGGGGGCGCCCATACAGGCTTGTCATGAACAAGCTTAGATCTTGGGCGCCCCCTGTGACGGAGTCCCTGGAACCCCAAATCCTCGAAGGTGTGTTGGAGGCCCTCTTTCCATCAGAGGGCCCCCCTTCGACGCGGAGCTGTTTAACAGCTGCCTCAAGGAAGGTGTGTTCCCCCCGGCATGGGTGGGGGCCAGACTGGTCCTCATCCCGAAGGGGAGCAAACCCGGCAGCGTCCCTTCTGCCTACAGGCCAATATGCCTGTTGGACGAGGCGGGAAAGCTCTTGGAGAGCGTGTTGGCGAACCGCCTCGTCTAACACCTGTCCCGAGGAAGGATGGACCTCCACCGAGACCAGTATGGATTCCGCGGGGAGCGATCGACCGTGGACGCAATCTTGCGCGTGCGGTCCCTCGCGGAGCCCATCATGAGGAAGGGCAGGGTGGTGCTTGCGGTGCCCTTGGACATCCGCAATGCCTTCAACACCCTGCCCTGGAGTATGGTGGAGAGGCCGCTAACACCTTTGGTCTCCCCCCCCCCCTACATGGTGGAGGTCCTGAGGAGTTACTTCCGGGACAGATGGCTGGAGTACCCTGACAACAGGGTACTCCTGCGCAGAAGGGACGTGTACTGCTGGGTTCCACAGGGGTCCGTGCTGGGCCCCACTCTGTGGAACCTCGCGTACAACATGGTGCTGGGTATTGCTCTCCTCCCCGGCTGCAGCGTCGTCTGCTATGCGGACGACACTTTGCTGTTAGCCGGGGGAAAGAGCTGGGGGGACGCGGTTTCTGCCGCCAATCTCGGGGTAGCGTGTGTTGTCCGCGCAATCCGTGGCATAGGCCTGCAGGTAGCGCCTCAAAAGACCGAGGCGCTATTCATGCATAAAAAAAGAGGGGGAAGCATGGGGCTCCCCCGCCGAAGCCTATGTCACGGTAGGTGACATCTCCGTCCGGGTGGGGGACCGATTAAAATACCTCGGTCTCTACCTGGACGCGGCTTGGAGTTTTGGCGGGCACTTTGAGCGCCTGGCCCCCAGGGCGGAGTCGGTGGCTATTAGCCTGAGCCGACTCTTGCCCAATCTTGGGGGCCCGGATGGCCGAGTGCGCCGCCTACACGCGAACACCGTCCGGGCGGTGGCCCTTTACGGGTCACCAGTGTGGGCGGACGTCCTGATGGCCAAAAGGCGCAGCAAGATGTTGCTGCGCCGAGTTTTTCGGAGGATGGCCATCAGGGTTGTCCGCGGTTACAGGACGGTGTCGCACACGGCGGCCACATTATTGGCGGGGACGCCGCCCGTTGAACTCTACGCCGATATGTACGCCCACGTGTACAGGCGTACGCGGGAGCTCGGCGGGCTAGGCGTGGCGTTGACCCCAAGGGTCAAGGCCGCCGTGAGACTCCAGGCCAGGCGACGCGCTTTGGAGAGATGGGACGAACATCTCTCCGACCCCCGAGATACATCGGGGACGCGCGTCGTGGAGGCCATCCGGCCCCATTTGGTCAAATGGGCTGATCGGGCCGGTGGCGAGATGTCGTACCGTGCGACGCAGGTGTTTACGGGCCATGAATGCTTCGGCTCATACTTGTGTCGCATCGGTAACAAGGACAACGCGCGCTGCCACCATTGCGGCGGGGACGAGGACACGGCGCAGCACACGCTGG